ATTCCATCACTGTTCTACACATCTTTCCTTGCAAATCTCCAGGCACTGGGCTTGGCCAGCCACCCTGTGTGGATAATCCTGGCTCCTCTGCTAAGAGCCTGGAAACTCTAATCTCACACTGATAGCCATTTACGTTTGCCCATCTGGACGAGGGCAATTTGCAATCTCTTCTTAAAGGGAAAGAAGAGGCACAAGTGATTCTACAAGCAGGAGTAATGTCTGAGAAAGCAGAAATGCTGATGCTAAGAATGGGAGAGAGGTTTAGAGGAGGCACTGGCCTGCAGGGGATAACATTTTACAAGCAAAGGAGATGGAAGAAAATCATAAAAACGTAATTTTCCAGGGAATGTAAGAGACTTATATATAATCATTGTAAGATGTGTAAAGATTTTGGAAACAGATGTTAGAAGGGGAAAAAGTTTCACTATAAGTTATAATATGCAAATACCTTAAAATATAGACAGTATACAGATAGTATTTCAAACTAGTAGGGAAAATAAAATTTATTTAATAAATAGTGTTAGCCAACTGGAAAAAAATAAAAGTAACTGGTTAGCCAACTGGAAAAAAATAAATTTTTTTCAAAACCTAAAACCTTAAATCAGGATACATTTCAGATAGATTATTTAAAAATAAACCTGGCTGGGCACAGTGGCTCATGCCTGTAATCCTAGCACTTTGGGAGATCAAGGCAGGTGGATCACTTGAGGTCAGGAGTTTGAGACCAGCTTGGCCAACATGGCGAAATCCTATCTCTACTAAAAACACAAAAATTAGCTGGATGTGGTGGCCACCTGCCTGTAGTCCCAGCTATTCAGGAGGCTGAGAGATGAGAATTGCTTGACCAGGGAGACGAAGGCTGTGGTGAGCCAAGATTGGGCCATTGCACTCCAGCCTAGAGGTCATCTAGAGTGCGTTTCAAAAAAGCCAATTACTGACATGTGGGGAGGTTTTATTTCCCTTAGATTTTATTTTTCGCTTAAAATTCTATTTTAACCTAATGGAAAAAAAAAAAAAAAACAAAAACACAAAACAAAACCCTTAATGAGTAAAAAGGAAGCCATAGGATATGTATTTTTAATAATCTTAGACTAAGAAAGTCCTAACTGAAAACACAGAAGCCTTATTTATTTATTTGACAGGTTGTGGTTCAGTCACCCAGGCTGGAGTGCAATGGTATGATCATAGCTCACTGTAACTTCAAGAAATTTTGGGCTTGAACAATCCTCTTACCTCAGTCTCCTGAGTAGCTAGGACTACAGGTTCATGCCACCACACCTGGCTTTTACAATTTTTTTTGTAGGGATGAAATCTAACTATGTTGCCCTGGTTAGCTTTAAACTCCTGGGCTTGAGAGATCCTCCTGCCTTGGCCTCCCAAAGTGTTGGGATTACAGGCAAAAAGGAAAAAAAAAAAAAAAAGAAAAGAAAAGAAAAAAAATTCTAATAGTAAAGTTGAAGATAAAAAACAAACTTGGGAGAATATGTGCAACTAAAGTCACAGATAAATCACTAATCACCTTCGTGTATATGGAGTCCTTATGAAGCAATAAGAAAAAGACCAGGCCAGGTGTGGTGGCTCAAATCTGTAATCCCAGCACTTTGGGAGGCTGAGGCTGGCAGATCACAAAGTCAGGAGTTCGAGACTACCCTGGCCAACTTGGTGAAACCCTGTCCCTACTAAAAATACAAAAATTAGCCAGGTGTGGAGCAGGCACCTCTAATCAAAGCTACTTGGGAGGCTGAGGCAGGGGAATTGCTTGAACTGGGCGGCAGAGTTTGCAGTGAGCCGAGATTGTGCCACTGTACTCCAGCCTGGGTGACAGAGTAAGGCTCCATTTCAAAAACAATGATAAAATAACATGCTAAATAAAAAAGACTAAGAGTACAAACACTTTACAGAAATACAAATTACCTTCAAATTCTATGAATAGATTCTGAGTCTCACTCGTAATAGAAGAAATGCAAATGAAAGCTATACTGAGATACTATTATTTACTTAACACATTAAGGTAAAATAAAAAGGCTAGCAACACACTACATCAGCAAAGGTGTGAAAAAGGTGCTTTCCATATTACTACTGAGAGGGCTTTAAATTCGTAGAATCTCTAAGAAAGAAAATGTACAATTTCTGACAACATTGCAAATGCTCATGTACTTGTATCCAGCATTTCCCACTCTAGGACTTTATTACTGATATAAATTTGCTGATATATAAAATAATATAATAATTGTGGCATTGTTTATAATAGCAAAATTTGGAACAACATGAATGTCCATCTCTAGGGCAATTGGCTAAATAGGGTATGCTTTATTCATGCAATAGAGTATAGTGCAGTGATAACAAAGAATAAGTTAGTTCTGTATGTACAGATACAGAACATTCTTGAGCTGTGAAGTAAAAATATCAAGGTACAGAACAGTGTGTGTAGTATGCTACCATTTCTGTAAAAAATTTCACAAAAGAATATGTATATGTACTTATATATTTTAATTTGTCTAAATAACTCTGGATGGGTACATAAGAATGTAGAATCTGGTTTTCCACAGGATGGGGAACTTGGTCACTAAGGGCTATGGATGGAAGGAAGTTTCCTTATTACATATCCTTTTATACATCTGAATTTTAAGCAATGTGATGATATTTTCTAATAAAAAGGAATTAAACTATAAAATATCTTTAGGAAACTAAACATATTTTTAAAACTTCAGTGCCCTCGGATGGAAGGTTGTTTGCTAGCAAATGACTTTCCACGAGGTGGGAAAGATAAGAGAGAGCCTGGATGCTTTTTAAAGAACATAGTTGGAGAGTTTTCCCAATAGAGAAAAGAAAACACACAGCCCTTCTCTGATTATCAGGGCTTCCTCCCATGCCTTGGCTATAAAAAGCTTTTCTCTCTGCTTTGCTTACAGAGCCACACATTTCCTGCCTCTCAGCTGTCTGTGTTTGCTAATGTCTAACCTAAATGACCTTAATAGGGCCAAACAGGGTGATAGGGATACTACTGAGAAATGTCTGAAACTTCTCTTTGAAAGCTCAGTGTTGGGTAAGCTACCACTACTGAAGCACATGTGAACTTGTGTGCTATTTAGTGTGCCTGTGCTGTTTCATTTTTATGAGTTTTTTTGAGGACTCAGTCAGTTAACATCAAAGGGTTCCTGTACATTTAACCCCCCTCTTAAATGGGTGCTCCAGAATCTGCTCATCTTCCCTTAAAGAAGTCAGATGCTGGAGATCTAGAACAGAGAAGACCATCCTTTTATTAATCCTGTGTTTGCTGTCTTTGACAAACTCTCACTGTGACCATCTTCCTCCAGCATAGTTTTAGGTATATATACATTTGCTCTAGTCTCTACTCTCTACTAATTTGTTTTGGGTATAGTCTTGGCTTAATCTCAGCTCTGCTAGCTATGTTAACATTGAACAAATCAATTTATACTTTTGGAACTCATCTGTGAAATTAGGAGATTAAAATAGAAGATGTTTAGGTCTATCCACATCTGAAACTCTAGGATGTGGTGGGGTGCGGGGGAAATTCCCTCCTCTACCACATCTCCAAAGTAAATATATTGACACTGCTCTTTCTATTAAAAGTGGCAGTCATTATTCTAAAAGCTTGAGGAGACTTTGGAATGAGCACTTTCGATCTGCATTGTCAAAATATAGATAGCTCTAAAAGACTAACATACATGACTTCAGGGCTTCAGGCAAGTAAAAAGATAAGAGCCCAAGGATCTGTAAAAATTTAGAGTATGGCAAAGAAGGCATTTCAAAAATCATTAGAAAGACTGTGGACTACTCAGTCCAAAGGTTATTGGGACAACTTGTTAACAAGAAAAAGTTAGATTCCCTACCTCACTCCACACATCTAATAAATTCCAAATGGCTTAAAAATATAAATGTAGAAAACAAAAGATGATAAAAAAGTATAGGTAAAAAATTATATCATTTTGGAATTAAGAATACCTTTCTAAGCATGATTTAATAATAAGAAACAATAAGGAAATCATTGAATACTGGCCACTTAAAACTTCTGTGTCTAAACTACATACCATAAGTTATGAAAAACTGAAAAAAATTCATAACACATATGACAGCAAAAGGTTAACATTATTGAATTATGATGAACTCTTGGAAATCAATAAAAAGGTAAAACACAGTTAAAACATGGTCAGACGAGTTACACAAAAAAGGAGAAATGCAAATGCCCAACATGAAAGATTTTTCACTTCACCAGTATAAAGAAAATGCCAATAAAAATAAAAATGAAAATGCCTTTTAACTTATAAAATTGAAAAAGGTTTAAAAGAATGATAATAACTAGTGCTGATGAAGGCATGAGATAATAGGTACTTTCAAACACTTTAAAGGGAATGTAAACTGATTCACGCTTTCTGGAGGGCAATTTAGCAAATTTAAACAGTATTTTAAAATGTATGTACTCACATTTAAATGCTCACACCTAAGAATTTATCCTAAGGAAATAGCTGGATAAGTGCATAAAAATGCCTGTATAAGAATGTTCTTTAGCACGTCATTTATCATAAGAAAACACTGACAGACCTAAAGATTTGTCAGAAGGGAACAGAAAGCTATGCAATAATTTTAAAAGATGGACAGTGATGTCTTCAATATGTTAAGTGAAACAAGAGATTATGTAATGGAATATACAGTATAAACATATATACACACATCTTATGAAAACCAAATGTTAATAACTATCATCTCTGGATGTTTTGAATAATAGGCATTATTACTTTACTTTCTGCTTATGCTGTTATTTTCTAATTATTCAAAAATAATGAGCATGTATTATTTTTATCATTAGGAGAAACAATAAAACCATAACCCTCCTTCCAAAGCTCATGATTGAGCCTTAGAGATGAAAAGAAAACAATTACAGATGAATGATGCAAATATTTCCATGACACAGTTCTTGTTACCGTAGCAAAGTGACCATAGGAATAATGTTTAAGACTAAACATCTGTGTCTGTCAAATGTCTCGGCAAGATTTGCTTCCCGTATTGCAGATGGAAAGCTGAATTTTCCAGTGACTGCCCCATGAAGTTGCCACTTCACAAGGTGGGTGCCAGCAATAATATTTTGAACAAGATCTGACATGGTCTTTGGTCTCCACTTTCCACAGCAAAAAGACATCCAAGTCGTAAGCAGCCTATAGCTGTCTGTCTATCTCACTCTCTTTATCCAGTCACCTCCAATTTCATTCCTTCCTTTTCTTCCTTTACCTTTTTCTCTTTTTCTTCTCCTCCCCCCATTCTTCTCTGCCTCACTTCCTTTTCACTCATTCTTTCATCAGACATTTCCTGAGAGAGTTTCAGAATGGCAAGCACTGTTCTGGGCACAGAAAGCATCTTCAGGATCATCATGGGAGTGTGGGAAATGGTACTTTTCAAGGCCAAATAGTACCAGGATTTGGGGATTTACTTGACTTAATACTGAAATGCTTGGATTGATACTGTTATTATAGTTGTAAACATTCAGAATTCATAAACTTTAAAGCTTCAGTAAAATGACATATACAGTACTTTACAAGAGCACACATTTATAGCACACTTTACAAACCTGTTCCAAAACATGAAGCAAATGTGTATGTTTATAAAGGTATAAGTGTAAAGTCTTACACTATTACAAATCAGCAGACAAATGAACAAGATAATATGAAAAATTACTCATAAAATGAAAATTTAATTTGAAAAAACTATCATTGAAATACCAGAGTAGCAATATACCATTAGACTGTTTTTAAAAACACAATCTTTAAAGCAAAGTCCTTCAGTGCATTGCCAGCATAGTTTTATGCAAATTGTTCCAACTGCTGAAATCCTTTTTCCAAGCCTGTGCTAGTGAGTGAACAGTGAAGAGATAGTATGGATTAACTTTAAATTATTTCCCTCTGGCTGGGTGCAGTAGCTCACACCTGTAATCCCAGCACTTTGGGAGGCCGAGGCAAGCGGATCACCTGAGGTCAGGAGTTCAAGACCAGTCTGGCCAACATGGTAAAAGCCTGTCTCACTAAAAATACAAAAATTATCCAGGCATGGTGGCAGGTGCCTGTAATCCCAGCTACTTGGGAGGCTGAGGCAAGAGAATAGCTTGAACCTGGGAGGCAGAGGTTGCAGTGAGCCGAGACCACGCCATTGCACTCCAGCCTGGGTGACAGAACAAGACTCCATCTCAAAAAAACAAAATTATTTCCTTCTGACTCATTCACTTTCAAATTATATGATTTCTTGCTTTATACCAAAGGAGTTGTGGGGATTCTCAGGAGTTGTGTATGCATGTGTGCTATGTGTGTAGTGTATGGTGAGTGTGTATGTGTATGTGTGTGGGTACACATATATAAATGTGTGTATGTGTAAAGTGTCTGTGTATGTATGTATGCATAGCATGGGTGTTGAGTGTGGGTATTTAGGTGTGGATAACTGTGTGCTATGTGTGAATGTTGAGGGAGCTGTACATGTGTGTATGTGGCATGTGTGGTGAGTAGGTGTGGATTACCATGTGTGGTCAATGTACATGGGTGAGATGTGTGTGGGTGGGATTCTTGCAGAGACTGGCCAAGCTCTCAAACTGCAGTTTGACTCTGAATGTGGATCTTTCTCCACCTAATTTTGGCTGTGATCAGAAGGCTGAGTTCAGTGTTTTGTTTACACTTGCAGGGACAAATTGCCCTAAGACCGATAGTACTAGTTGGTGAGGCCAAAGGACTGATAGAGAGTGTCTCCAGGTCACTCTTGCAGCTGCAGAAGGGGACCCGCCTTGCTGGAAAGAGGCCTCCAGGAGACTCTGGGCAGCCCCAGGGGATGTCAGAGAACCAGGGCTGGGGGTGCCTCAGAGATTATCCAGACTAGTGCTTGTCAACCCGAGGACTTGAGATTTTAGTGGGTAGTAAAATTCATTTACTGGATTTCTAAGAGCTATTTTGAAGAATAGAATGAAATGGACCAGAACAGAATAGAATGAAAATGGCATACATTGTACTAGTAAGAATAAGTGCAGATTCTTGGAACTTTTGTTCAATACTCTCTCTCTCTCTCTCTCTCTCTCGTGTGTGTGTGTGTGTGTGTGTGTGTGTGTGTGTGTGTGCTGGGTTATGATGTAAGATGAATTTGTCATCACTGATTGTAGTTATTTTACATTTTTATTTTACAGGGAGAAAACAGAGAGTATCTGAGGTAAAGTGACCTGCCTTCTATGGTCACTGCGAATTATAGGAAGAGCCTTTCCATGATAACACATGCGCCAAGAGCCAAAAATGAGTCACTAGAAAGGACCAGAATAATGACTTCTCTCTTTCTTTAGTGGAAAGAGAGAAGTCACTTTTAATCTTTTTCAGGAAAATATTATTGCTTCTCAAAATATTTAAACTTGTTGCAATTTTCAAAGGAGAGAAAGTTGAGTGATGTTTAAAGTCCCCTTTGAGTTTGATGATTCTAAGTTCTATTATTTTAAAGAAATCAGAGAGAGAGAGAGAGAGAGAGAGAAATAAAGAATGTAGGTGACTCAATTGTGGTCTGTGGGGAAAACCACTTTTATCCAGAAACAGTGAATATGAGTTCAAGGTTTCCCTCTGTCACTCTCCGCGCTGGGGCAAGTAATTGGTCATCTCCTCACAACTACTACATTCTTTCTATTTCACAGATGTCTTGCAGGAGTCCAGTGTGCTAATGTATGTAAAGTCCTTGGAAAAGCACAAGAGTGAGGCAAGAACTGCCGTCAGTGCCCTCATGACTCGGTTTGGTCTTTGCATCCCATCTTGGAGCCAGTCTTTGCAATGCCAGGTATGGACACGTAAGACCAACCTGGGCACCTTTCATTTACCTACACAGGGTGACTTAATGTGCTTCTTACCCAGGTGAGAATTTAAGTTGATTAAGTATTACATATATAAGGGTTTTTCCAGTTAGAAACATGCAATGATAAGATTCTTCTAGGAGCATTAAAATCAAAACAAAACCTTGGACTGGGTGAAACCTTATGTCCTGACTTTGTCAGCCCCTGTACCTGCCCACATAATGACCCTTGTAGCCAGAACTCCCCTGCCCATCTCTCCAGTCTATATCTTGACCGCTGTCCCCAACACTCTGAGTCCAGATCCAGACACACTGGGCTTCTCTGAGATCTTCAAACATTCCATGCTTCCTTTTTACCTTTGCATATGCTGTTCCCTCAGCCTGGAAAGCTCTTCCCTCCTCCACTTCCCTCTTAATACACATGCTCAGCTGTCCGATCTCAGCTGAATTGTTACCTCTCAGAGGCCAAGTTGTAAGCTCTGTAGTAAGCTTCATAGTACAGTGAACCTTCTCCATGAAGAGTTATAAATATAATTTTACTTTCATTTGTGGATCCTTTGATTTATGTTCATTTCCTCAGCTAGATAATAAGCTCCATGAGGGCAAGGAGGTTTTCTGTCTTTACCTCCTGTTGTGTCCCAGAAGCAGGAGAGTCTCTATCACATTGCTAGGTCCTCAAAAATGGTATGCTGAATAAATTAATATGTCTGTGGATCTACAGCTCACACTCAGAAGGCACACATTTCCTGCCCATTTCTGCTCAAGTTACATGATAGGCACTGAATACACAAGGCTGTCAGTAAGCAACTTATTTGAATGTCTTAAATATGACCACAGATGGTTCTTCTGGAGAAAGTCTGCCTCAATCTAAACCTCTTTGTTGCAGGAAGATTCTGTGTTCTCAGCAGGTATACTCTGCATTTTTCTGACCAACCATTTTAGATGCTGCAGGCTCTTCCTGCTGCTCTGTGACCCTCAGTAGCTGAGGGGAGAGGGAATGAGAGAGACTCCCGTTGACTATCTTCTTTTTATTTCTCATTAACTGTGTACAGTGGAGATTCCAAACCGGTTGGCATTGGTTTGATAGGTACCACCGTTACTTGGATTCATTAAGCATCTCTCTAGGAAGAAGTATTAGTGCACCTGCCTATGAAATATTTAATAAAGAACATTTGTGTAGCATTTCACACAGCACCCCAGCCTATGTTACTTGATTTTAACTTCACAATACTATTGTGAGAAGATAGCATTTTCCAAATTTTGCACACAAAACACAAAGACTTTTTAAGTTACATGTCTAAGGTCACACAGCAAGTTTTTTCTTCTTTTTTTGAGAAGGAGTCTCACTCTGTCACCAGGCTGGAGTGCAGTGGCACAATCTAGGCTCACTGCAACCTCCACCTCCCGGGTTCAAGTGATTCAGCAGGATTCAAACCTGGCTCTTTCAATTTTAGTGTTTTATGTTAATATATAACATGCCCTTCGTACCTATGTTTGACAGGCTCCATAACATATCATATTTATTCCTTATATTTTACGGCATTTCTTTTTTTCCAAATGTGTTAATTCATGTGATACCATAACTCCCTGAGGTAGGTGGGGCAAGGACTCATCTCATTTTTACAGATAAGTGAGTAGGTTTCCAGTGGCTAAATAGCACATCTCATTAGTAGAATGCTTTGAGATAAATTCAGTTTTCTGCTGTCCAGGTGACTGACTACCTGTGGTAGACAGAATGGCTTCCCAAAATGTCCAAATCCTAACCCCCAAAACCTGTGACTATGTTACCTTATATGGCAAAAGAGATGTTGAAGATGTGGCTAATTTAGGAACCTTGAGATAGGGAGATTATCCTGAATTATCTGGGTGGGCTTGATGTAATCACAGGGGTTTACAAGAGGGAGGCAGGTGGGTCAGAGTTGGAGAATGAGCTATGATGATGGAAGCAGGGGTCATGTTTGGAGGGACAGTGGGTGAGCTTTGAAGATGCTATGCCACCAGCTTTGAAGATGGAAGGTGGAGGAAGGAACCACAAGCCAAGGGATGGAGGTGGCCTCTAGAAGCTAGGAAAGACAAGGAAACAGGTACTTCCTATAGCTTCTAGAAGGCACAAGGCCCCACAGACATCTTTATGCTAGGTTTCTAAGTTCCAGAACTATAAGATAATAAATTTGTGTTGTTTTAAGCTACTGAGTTGTGGTAATTTGTTGCAGCAGAAATAGGGAACTGATACATCACTCTGAACAATGACTGACCTCTGCAGGGACAGAGACAATCAGACAACTTCCAGGAGACCCAAAACCCCAGGCCTGGAGGGAGGGGCTGGGGCAGGTCAGGGATAGGCCTTGGGATGCTGAGAGGCCAGTATGCTGCAAGTCTCTGCTGTCTCACAGAGAGGTGTGGGACCTGCTGTTCTTCTTGCCAAAGTCTTCCAGTGGCCTCCCAGGGCATGGAGAGTAAACCCTAAGCTCCCTAACACAGCCCATCTCTCCCTCAGTCACCACCCAGCAGATGTCCCTGCCTTCTTCCTGTTGCTAGTGTCACCTTAGAATCTCACAGGGAACTTCTGATCACCTCCTCAGAGAGCATTTACCTGACCACCTCTCCAAAGTATCCCCTAATCATTCTCTGACAACTACTTTTGTTTTCTTTGCAATGCCCAGTACTACCCATGACTTTATATATATATATATATATATATATATATATATGTATGTATTTTTAAACTCTTAGTTCTGGTGTACAGGTGCAGGATGTTCAGGTTTGTGACATAGGTAAACATGTGCCATCGTGGTTTACTGCACCTATCAACCCATCACCTAGGTATTAAGCCCAGCATGCATTAGCCACCCTTTCCAATACTCTCCCTCCCCCACTCCACCCCCCAACAGGCCCTGGTGTTGTTCACTTGTATTGTCTGTGTCCCTCACTAAAATGTATACCCATGAGAACTATTCATGTCACAGCTCTGTCCTAAGTGCCTGAGTATGTTTCCCATTCAAAAAATATTTGTTGAATGGATAAACAGACCTGAGGCAGCCTTCCAACAAGAGCACCTGCTTTCTTCCAGCATGCCTCTAGCCCTACAAGAGGAGTTTCTGCTTAGATAGGAACACTGAGAACCCCCAGAATCTTTTCTCTGCAGGATTCCTGGCTGCCTTTAGACACAAGCCTGGCACTCACCTCTGCGCCATGGTGTACTCCTGTTGATCGTAATTTCCACAGAACATCAACATCAAATACAGCCACTCTGTTACTGTAATGGAGCAAAAGAAAACAAGATGACTCCATAATCATGTCTAGACCCAGACCAAAATAAGAACATTGCCCAAACCACAAGAATGACCAAAGATGCTCCTTTCCTGGCTAATATGAGTGATTTCTGCTTCTTTATTAATACACCTTTAGCCTCATCTCATACCTTCTGCCTTCTAGGTAAGAATTATTAAGATATGCAGTCCTAGACTTACCTCTGCTTCCTCATAACATCCAATCCAGAGCAATCTCCCACTTCCCTGAATCCTCACCAGTATCACTTAACCCAAGCCCAAATCCTACAAGAAGTCTTTAATCACATCCTTTTACTGATATGCCCCCATGGCTCCCCATGCTATCTATGTGTTATCCCTCATTGCAACTAGTCCATAAACCCAACATTGTCTGACTTTAGTTCTATAGCTAGAGAACATTGACAAAGTGGACTGGAAGGCAGGCCCGACTGTTTTGCCATCTGTGAGGGAGAAATTCTAGTTGGGCCAACTGGTCAGCTAGAAAATCCTGAACTGCTTTGCCAATGAAACAATAATACTGGATGCATCCGGGTGCTCATTACCCGATTGGCACAAGACAGTGGCTGGTAAGGTTTCTGGTGGAGCTGCTTCCTTACAGGTGCAGGGCAGGAAGGGGCCCAGCAGGTGCAGCTATGGTCTGCCTGGCTGGCCTCAGAGGTACGTCTGCCCAAGCCACAGCTGTTCCCCATTGGTAATCTATCCTAGTCAATCTCCTCCACGCAGGTTCGAAAGCCCCCTCCCGCATCCACTCTTTTCCCTGCCCCATTTCCCGTGCTGCTTACACCCCCTCCCTTCTCCCTGCCTGAGCTAATCCCCCCACCGCCTATCACCCCCATACCACCCCATTGCCTGCAACTCTCTCACAGGTCTGAGCATCTGCACCAGAGGGGCTCTGGCCTCTGGCCTCTGGCCTGTGTCCACTTTTAAAGCCCTGCTTGATGATTTACTCACCTCTTCCCCAAAGGCTTCTTGGCTGGGCCTCATTGGCCGCCCAAGCTGATAGCAGCTGCTCTCCACATTTATAAAAGCGGCTCCTGTGATGGTAACTGACTGGGGTGATTTATGGGGTTTGGCTGTGGTGGGAGTGGGGTTCACATAATTCATCTCCACACCTAGAGCCTTAACTTCCCCAGGGCAGAGGTTCTTTTTTCATCCCCAGGTTTTTGATTGCTTCCTCCCTAGTACCCAGAAGCTGAATAGCCAGCGCTCAGCACTCTGGAGGCTCAGTGCCCTATGAGAAAGTCAGTCAAGAAACTGTCTCCTACAGGGCTGGGGAATAATACCTGCTTCTCAGGTGATCAATGCCTGCAGCTGGCAGGAATTTTCAGGGATTCTAGAAGCTCCTCCATTATCTTGATGGGCCCAAGTTGTTTGTTCCTAACTCTGAGTTTCATGGCTTTCTAGCCACAAAACCTTGATCCTGGGATATTTTTATTTCTCATTCTAGACATCTGCCAGCTTGTCTGACTACTCCAGGGCCCAGCTCACTTTAGTTAGGGGTTATGATGTCCTTCTCATCAACCTCTTCAGGTAAACACCTGATGACTCTTTAGAGAGCAAGGTTAAAATTACATCCAAACAAATTTTTATGAAAGGAGGGTATTAGGATAAAGGATGCTTTTCTACCTTACAGAGAATGAGGTTAATCTAAATGCACAGATGTGGGGAAATGCCCAAGAAAGGATGCTAAGTGAAAAA